TACTTTTTATACCCTCCACCATAGTATGGAGGGTTTATTATAGTTGTCATTCCATTTGTAACACCTCGAAATATACATTTTAGACCCCACAAAGTATCAGCATAAAATCCTATGTCGATTTAGCGATGTCCGCTCGTCTATCCGTCTGCCCGTCTGTGGAAATCACTCTAGCTTCCGAACGATTTGAAGTAGATTAATAAAATTTTACTCAAATGTACATTATGTCCTCAGGACTTTTAATATTGAAAATGGGCCATGTAAGTCCACGATTTGATATGACCCCCATATAACTGTACCTACCGATATTCGGTACTTTGATGATTTTAGTGACATTATTCACCGTAATTGTTTCAAATTTGGTATTTGAAGTTCGAAATGGATACTACGGCCTATGACAGAAAATTGTCTGTGCAAGTCCACGTCTTCATATAGCCCCCATATAACGGTACCTCCCTACATTCGAAATTTTGATGATTTCAACTACATTATTCCGAGAATTTTTTTATTCAAGCTTCGCATGGTTTATGACAAAAGTTGACTATGCAGGTCCTTCGTATAGACCCCAATATAACGGCTAAATTTGGTATTTTTAAGATTTTACCAGAATTTTTAACGGATTTATTTTTTTTTTTTTTGTTTTTTTTTTTTTTGAAAATTGCCTAATGGGTTCCAAATTGTGGAGAGTATTCAAAGTTTGGCCGAACCTACAGCTTTTTTACTTGTATTACTTGAAGGAGTATCCACGCTCGAATTTGAGCAGAAGGTGAAACCCACTTGAAGCATTTCTGAGCACTAGGTAGTTTTAGTTTTTTTTTTTTTCAAAAAACTCTGATAGTGGTAGTGTCGCTCTGGCTTTCATTTTCAATGCACATTTCCGATCATTAAGCTCATCTCGAATGAGAAGTAAACAAATAAGTTATAAACATAAAAATTTAGGTTTAACTGAGCCTGGCTAGGTTTTCAACTGTGGACCTCTGTGAGCAGCCTACTAGATGTTGCCGTCACAACGTTCAGAGCCATTAACCCGTCTTCCTGCAGCGGTGAATCAATGTAGTTGTTGTGGGCAAAGAACCAACTCGCTATAAAAACAAGCTTTCTGTGAAAAAGATCTCGAATCGCATTATAATTCGAAATAAAGACTACTTAGAACGGCCCTTGTAAGAAATCATAAACACCAAATATGCCTTATAAGCCGCAGAACTAGCTCTAAACGCCCCTCATAGGGGTGTGTGTGATAATGTCTTCCGGGCTTCCTTCAAAACTTATGTTCTCTGAAACTCGATTACTCACAATTTCCAAAAATACTACACATTTTGGGAATTTCATTAATTTTGTTAAAATTCTGTAATTTTAAGACTTATAGATACGTTAATTCAATGAGAAAAAGTGCTCAGACCTTCTTCATTCGAAACTTGTTTATTTTCCAAAAATACACCAACTACTTCAAAAGTTACGGCCTCTGGAAATAGTTACCCAAAAATGTTAGGATTCGGTCAAAATTTGTTACAACTCTTCATTTTCTCATATCTCTTAAACTTTAAGGACTATATTCACCGAATTTAAAAGATGTTTATTGAGATTCGATTTTATTGAGATCCCATTTTCAAATAATGCGTTTTTACTAAAATAAACCAATTACTTTAAAAGTTATGGCAACTAGAATTAGCTTACTCATAAAATATAATAATACAACACATTTTACCAGTTTCATTCTTTTATTCCCAATTCGGCAATTTTACGAGTTATAGGTACGTTCATAGAGTGGGAAAAATGCTGAGACCTTCCTTACTCGAAAATGGTTCATTTTAGTATATATATTTAGAATATATATAATATATATAATAGGATATAGTTACTCAAGAAAGTGGAAATTCTAACAAAATTTCTTGCAATTACTCGTTTTCGCTTATCTCTTGAACTTCACAGGCTATGTATATAATGTTTCCACAATGTTTAGCTCAGTTCTTTCCAATTCCGAATAATTTTATTTCACTAAAATGAAGCGGTTATTTCAAAAGTTATGCTCTCTAGAATACGGTTACTCAAAATTATTCAAAAATATGTCACATTTCAGCAATCTAATTAATTTTGTCATACTCTGTTATTTAACGAGTTATTGGTACATACATTAAGTGAGAGGAAGGCTGTGAGCTTCTTTATTCAATATTTTGTAATTTTACAAAAATATACCAATTATCATAAAATATAAAAATTTAAAATAAATATCGTTGCATTTATTTTTTTTTTTTTTTTGTAATTATATCTCATAAACTTTGCGAGTTGTATGTACATTTTTTCCACTATATTTACTGGGGTCCTTCTTAATTACAAATAATGCCATTTCATCAAAATATTCCGATTACTTCAAAAGTTACGCCATCTAGAATGCGGTTACTCAAACATTTCAAAACTATAACACATTTCTGCAATCTGATTCGTTTTGTCATTATTCTGTTATTTTTCGAGATACATCGACATTAACGACACAAAGTCATTAGGAGTTCTCGATTTTTCATAAACTTGTTATTTCATTTGAATACTTCAATTACTTTGGAAGTAATTGTTTTGAGAAGATGGTTACTCAAAACGAGCACAACATCGAAAGATTTCAGCACTTATTTGCATTGAGCGACATCTCTGGCATTTTATGAGCTATATCTACCCAACTTACATCGAGTAGGTATGAGTAGTTGGTCTTTCAAAATCGAGCTATTTTACTTAAATACAGTAATTACTTTGAAAGGAATTGCCTGGAAAAAATGGTTACCCAAATTAAAGAACAAATTGAAATATTTCAACACTTGTTTTCATTTTACCATATCTCTATTATTTTACGATATATATACACATAAACAACACAAAGTCAATTGGAGTTCTTGGTCTTTTAAAAACAAGTTGCTTTATTCAAATGTCTCAATTACTTTAGAAGTAATTGCTTTGAAAAGATGGTTACTCAAAAGCACACAAAATCGAAACATTTCAGCATTTGTTTGTATTGAGCCATATATCTGGCATTTTATAAGCTATATCCACCTAATTTACATCGAGTAGCTATGATTAGTTGTTCTTTCAAAATCAATTAATTTAATTAAAATGCACCAATTACTTTAGAAGTAATTACCCTTGAAAGATGGTTACTCAAGTCAAAGAAAAAATTGAAATATTTCAACACTTGTTTTCTTTTTACCATACCTTTTGTATTTTGCGAGATATATAGACACAACTTTCTCAAAATAAGTTACGGTACTTGGTCTTTTCAAAACACGTTGCACCATTAAAATATGCCAACTACTTTTGAAGTAATCGCTTTGGGAAGATGGTTACTCAAAAGGCCCACAAAATCTAAATATTTTGAAGCCAGACTTTATTTTGTTATATCGCCGGTTTTTTACGAGATTTATCGACATTGCTTAGACAAAGTAAATTAGAGCATTTGGTCTTTCCAAAATAAGTTGCTTCATTAAAATATGTAAACTACTTCAGAAGTAAATGCTTTCAGAAGATGGTTACTCAAAACAACCAAAAAATCTAAACATTTTGACACCTGATTTTATTTGGTCATATCTCTGGTATTTTATGAGATATATTGCTTATGTAAAGTAAGTCAGGGTCTTAGTCTTTTCAAAACACGTTACATCATTAAAATATGTCAACTACTTTTGAAATAATCTATTTGAGAAGATGGTTACTCAGAACGACTCCAATATTGGATCGTTTCAGCAGTTGTTTGCATTGAGCCATATCTCTGGCATTTTATAAGCTACACCCACCTAACTTATATTGAGTATTTATGAGTAGCTGGTCTTTCAAAATCGAGCTGTTTCATTTAAATACATCAATTACTTTAAAAGTAATTGCTTCCAGAAGATGGTTACTCAAAACGCCTACAAAATCGAAATATTTTGACACCTGTTTTCCTTTTATCGTATCTCCGGTGTTTTACGAGATTTATCGACATAACTTATACAAAGTAAGTTGGAGTACTTGGCCTTTCCAAAACACGTTGCATCATTAAAATATGTCAACTACTTTTGAAGTAACTGCTTTGAGAAGATGATTACTCACAACGCCTACAAAATCGAAATACTTTGACACCTGATTTTATTTGACCACATCTCTGGTATCTTATGAAATATATCAATATAACTTACGCCAAGTAAATTAAGGCCCTTGGCCTTTCAAAAACAAGTTTCTTCATTAGAATATGTTAACTACTTTAGAAGTAATTGCTTTCAGAATATGGTTACTCAAAAATACCAAAAAATCTAAACATTCTGGCACTTGATTTTATTTGACCATATCTTTGGCATTTTACGAGATATATCAATATAACTTACACAAAGTAAATTAAGGTCCTTGGTCTTTCCAAAACAAGTTGTTTCATTTAAATAAATCAATTACCTTAGAAGTAATTGCTTCCAGAAAATGGTTACTCAAAAATACCAAAAAATCTAATCATTTTGACACCTGATTCTATGTGGCCATATCTCTGGTATTTTATGAGATATATCGACATAACTTTCTCAGAGCAGGAAAGGGTTCGTAGTCTTTCAAAAACAAGTTGTATCATTAAAATACAGCAATTACTTTTGAAGAAATCGCTTAGGGAAGATGGTTACTCAAAACAACCACATTACCGGATCAAGTTGAGACTTCTTTGCCTTAAGCCATATCTCTGGCAATTTGAGAGTTATATCATCCTAACTTACGTCGATTATATTTGAGGCCATATACTTTCAAAATCGCATCATTTCATTGTAGTGCGCTCAATACTTTACAACTTATGGCCCCTAGAAAATGGTTGTCCAGAACTACTAAAACTTTGATACATTTCAACATCCCTCTTCTTTTAGTCGCATCTCTATTTTTTATTTTCCATATATTTACTCCTACATTTATGTGAATATATTTTCACTACACATAATTTTTTTTTACATACATATATAGATTAAAAATAAACATTGAAAAAATATATATATTTACATTCAAAAATTATTTACCTCTATTTAACTATTCACACGCAAATGCACGTCGGTTGTTACCTGAAATAGAGAGAGCGAAAAAACCAAACAAATAAAAAACTTTATTAAAATGTTATTAAATTTAAAAACGTTTTCAATTAACATCTAGTTTTTTGTTGTGAATTTTTTGTATTGTTTATACATGATTTTGCATAAACATGCAAAATTAATTAAACTTTATAAATTTAAACGAGCAAATAAACTCAAAACGACATTAAATGTCAAAAGGTGAACAATGCGAAACAATGAACCGTATATCGCGGCAAACATTGTTGAGGGATGTTGGAATATAGCAATTAATGAATATTTATTTGAAATTTGAAACCTATTATAAATATTGTTGCGTATTATAAAATATACCAAAATAATTTAAGGAGGGTAGAAAATATCAAGTGATAAAGTAGGTTTTACTTAGCAGAATATTTTAAAACGATGCAAAATCCTGTGCGGGTAAATATATAAAAGACAGGAGGCTTGAACGTAATTAAATGTCAACAAACCCCGATATTAAAAATTTTAAAAAATCTAAAGGAGTGGTAATGTGTTTCCTTTATATCCTTCTTAAATAATTTTTCTTTAACAAATTTTGTTTGAATATTTCTTTTAAGTACTGAAGCTACCTAATTTTTTATCCCCATCTCATCCTTTCATTACCTTTAACCCATTAAATAATAAACGAATAAATTACTTTTTTTCTCATTACATTTTCTTCCGCTTCCTTGTAGCTAAATGATGGGCCCCTCCCATTCTCTCAAAGGAGTTGAAAGAGTATTTATTATTTTATTATCTCTGAGGCCACTAGCATTCAATTATATTATCACCAAAGATTTCATCTCATTTTAAAAAAGCCTCATCGTCGTCATCAACATCCTCATCAGCATTGTGGGCCCTCGGCCCTACATTGAGGAAAACTGTTCGTTATCCTTTAAGGACATTGTTCCGTGTGAGTTTAAAAATCACATTTTGTCCCTTTTTCTCTCCCTTTAATTCCCTCTACATCATATCTGAGATGACATGAATTACTTGGCCATACTCTGACTGCGGAGCTTTACATCTCGATGTTTGTCTCCTTGTCGTTTCTTTTCCTGTTGCCGTTTCATATTTCCCTCTGTAATTTAACTCTATGTTAATAGCCATCAGTTAGGGAAGCAATTTTTTTCAAGACATGTTGAAGAGGATGGCACGAATAGTCTTTCAAGGATCAAATAAACGTCGATTTTAAAGAATATTTTTTCAAGGATCAAATAAACGTGGATTTTTAAAGAATATTTTTTCTAGGACCAAAAAAACGTGAATTTTCTAAAGAATATTTTTTTCAATGACCAAAAGATCAATAAACGTGGATTTTTTTAAAGAATATTTTTTTTTTCAAGAACCAAATAAACGTGGATTGTTAAAAGAATATTTTTTCAAGGACCAAATAAACGAGGATATTTCTAAAAATATTTTTTCAAGGACCAAATAAACGTGGAATATTTTTTCAAGGACCAAATAAACGTGGATTTTTCTAAAAATATTTTTTAAGGACCAAATGAACGTGGATTTTTCTAAAAATATTTTGTCAAGGACCAAATAAACGTGGATTTTTCTAAAAATATTTTTTCAAGGACCAAATAAACGTGGATTTTTTAAAGAATATTTTTTCCAAGGACCAAATAAACGGGGATTTTTTAAAGAATATTTTTTAAGCAACAAATAAACGTGGATTTTTTTAAAGAATATTTTTTTAAGCAGCAAATAAACGTGGATTTTTTTAAAGAATATTCTTTCAAGCAACAAATAAACGTTGCTTTTTTTTAAAGAATATTTTTTCAAGCAACAAATAAACGTGGATTCTTTAAAGAATATTTTTTCAAGCAACAAATAAACGTGGATTCTTTAAAGAATATTTTTTCAAGGACAAAATATTTGGATTTTTTAAAGAATATTTTTTTTTCAAGGACCAAATAAACGTAGATTTTTTAAAGATTATTTTTTTAAGCAACAAACAAACGTGGATTCTTTAAAGAATATTTTTTCAAGGACAAAATATTTGGATTTTTTAAAGAATATTTTTTCAAGGACCAAATAAACGTAGATTTTTTAAAGAATATTTTTTCAAGGACCAAATATATGAGGATTTTTTAAAGAATATTTTCTCAAGGACAAAATATTTGAATTTTTTAAAGAATGTTTTTTTTCAAGGACCAAATAAACGTAGATTTTTTCTAAAAATATTTTTTCATGGACCAAATAAATGTGGATTTTTCTAAAAATATTTTTTCAAGGACCAAATAAACGTGGTTTTTTTAAAGAATATTTTTTCCAAGGACCAAATAAACGTGGATTTTTTAAAGAATATTTTTCAAGGACCAAATAAACGTGGATTTTTTAAAGAATATTTTTTTAAGGACCAAAAAAATGTGGATTTTTTAAAGAATATTTTTTCAAGTAACAAATAAACGTGGATTCTTTAAAGAATATTTTTTCAAGTAACAAATAAACGTGGATTCTTTAAAGAATATTTTTTCAAGGACCTAATATTTGGATTCTTTAAAGAATATTTTTTTTTCAAGGACCAAATTAACGTGGATTTTTTAAAAGAATTTTTTTTCAAGGACCAAATAAACGTGGATTTTTTAAAGAATATTTTTTCCAAGGACCAAATAAACGTGGATTTTTTAAAGAATATTTTTTCCAAGGACCAAATAAACGTGGATTTTTTTAAGAATATTTTTTCCAAGGACCAAATAAACGTGGATTTTTTTAAGAATATTTTTTCCAAGGACCAAATAAACGTGGATTTTTTTAAGAATATTTTTTCCAAGGACCAAATAAACGTGGATTTTTTTAAGAATATTTTTTCAAGGATCAAATATTTTTTCAACGACGAAATTTGTAATAAAGGTGGCATTAGATGGCCGTTTAACAACATCAACAATATTCCATTTCTGATTCTGATTATAACTGTATTCGAATAGAATACCATTATATTAGCAAGTCTTAGTCCTCATGTTACATAAATACCATTAATCTCCCCCATTTGGCCAACAAAGAAAACGACAAATAAATGCTCTTCCTGGAAGTATTATTGACACTTTTCCCTCTACAACATGTGAATAGGTATTTGCACTGCAATCCTTATGCATATTTACACACACGCGCACACACACACTAGCTAGAAAATAGTGATAATATCCTTGGAGGGAATTTATTTATTCCTTTAATTCTCACAAAATACCTTTGAGCTATTATTTGCTTAAGGATTTGCGAGAGGGATTATGATTTTTGCTCTGCTGGCATTTTCATGAGCTACCATTTTGAGCCACTAACACAGGCGCATCGTATTACCAGCTACATGGATGTGTGTGTGTGAGTTAAAGTAGATGTTCGGTTCACACCTGAAAAGCAGGCAAACACCATCAGGTGAGTGTCCTCTGACGTCAATGTGTGCGTGAGTGTGTGTACATGTGTCCTACTTGATGTTAAGGCACTCACACACACACACATACATATGCACAGGGAAACAGCATCAGCCATTTAACCATTTGAATAAACGTGTTTATCTTAAATTTGAAAACGAGCAAAAAAAGAAGAGGTGATGATGAGGACGATGAAAATGTAGGCAAATGAACTGGATCGAGAAGTTATTCTAGAACAGACCGCTCATCATCATCAACACATGGAGTTCCGAAACAAGAACTTGGCATATTCTACAAACAAAGCTTTCGTTTTTTTTTTTTGCTTCCTTTGGCAAACAATCCAAAAACTGGGTAATTCCACTTGGGTTTTATTTCATTGCATCTCTGATGTGGATCTCTTAAATTAACTGGAACAACAGGCAAATTATGCAGAGGAAGGAAACAATTTATAGGGTGATGGTAAAAGGAAAGCAATGGAGTTTTTCTAATTGCTCTGAAATATTTTAATTGTTTAAATTTTCAAGAAAAATCAAATTTTGAGGCCAGATGAACGCTAAAAACCCTTGATCCTTGAAAAAAATATTTTTAGAAAAATCCACGTTTATTTCTCCGAAAGCCCTTGAAAACCCTTGCACGGAAAGTCCTTAAAAATATTCTTTAAAAAGTCAACGTTTATTTAGCCCTTGAAAAAATATTCTTTAAAAAATCCACGTTTATTTGGTTCTTGAAAAAATATACTTTAAAAAAAAAGTGATAGTCCTTGAAAACATATTCTTTAAAAAATCCACGTTTATTTGGTGCTTGAAAAAATCCACGTTTATTTGGTCCTTGAAAAAATATACTTTAAAAAAAAGTGATAGTCCTTGAAAAAATATTCTTTAAAAAATCCACGTTTTTTTTTCCTTGAAGAAAATATTCTTTAAATAATCCACGTTTATTTGTTCCTTGAAAAAATATTCTTTAAAAAATCCACGTTTTTTTTTTTTTCCTTGAAGAAAATATTCTTTAAATAATCCACGTTTATTTGGTCCTTAAAAAAAAATATTCTTTTAAAAATCCACGTTTATTTGGTGTTTGAAGAAATATTCTTTAAAAATCCAGGTTTATTTGATGTTTGAAAAAATATTCTTTAAAAAATCCACGTTTATTTGGTCTTTGAAAAAAAAATATTCTTTAAAAAATCCACGTTTATTTGGTCCTTGAAAAAATATTCTTTAAAAAATCCACGTTTATTTGTTCCTTGAAAAAATATTCTTTAAAAAATCCACGTTTTTTTTTCCTTGAAGAAAATATTCTTTAAAAAATCCACGTTTATTTGATCCTTAAAAAAAATTCTTTTAAAAATCCACGTTTATTTGGTGTTTGAAGAAATATTCCTTAAAAAAATCCACGTTTATTTGGTCCTTGAAAAAAATATTCTTTAAAAAATCCATGTTTATTTGGTATTTGAAAAAAATATTCTTTAAAAATCCACGTTTATTTGGTCTTTGAAAAAATATTCTTTAAAAAATATATATATATATATTCTTTTTTCTTACCTACCACTATATCTGAATATAATAAATTGTTGTTTAAATTACATTATCTTTTTGCCATTGTCACGAAGAAAACAAAATGTCC